CGCCCCTGGCCCGCCCGGACCCCGGAGGTTTGGCCAGTCGCCAGCACGTGACTGCCGGAGGAGGCCGCCCCGCCACCTGGGGGCGGGGCTCAGGACTGGCCAGCGGCTAGCGAGTCAACTTTTATGATCCTACTCCGCCCCAGGCGGCGCCACTACTTTGGAAGAACCTCAATGAAAGCTGCTCTCTGCAGAGTCCCTTGCTTTCAGGACTTTACTACGTTCTGCTGCATTCGTTTAGTAAGTATTTACCGAGGATCTGCCTGCCAGATGTGCCAGGCATCTAGGCTCTACGTGAGACATAGGGCTCCCCCTATATGCCAAGCCAGGCATGGCCTCTGCCCTCCTGGAGCTTACTAGGCCAAGTAAGAGTATGACCCCGGATCCACGAACATCTCAGTTACCTGCTCAGTGGATATGGGGAGAGGAGACGACCTTGGAGGAGCAGGTACTTCACTATAATTTTTCCACCTGCACAAACAGGTTTGGGAAAGGGGACTAAGAAGGTTGTGGTGGTTCTGAACTATAATCCCAACTACTCTAGAGGCCAAGACCGAAGGATCTAGACTCAGGGGCAGCCTGGGCAACAGAAGCCCTGTCTCTGAAAAATAAAAATAAACATTTTAATTATAAAAGGGGATGTGGCTAAGTAAGCATTCTCTTGCTTTCACTCTCTCTTTTACACACACACAGAGACTGAAAGAAGTAGGGCCAAGAGGGGTGTAAGGCATTTTAAAATGTGAGGAGGACTGGACTGTCTGAATCTCCTGTCACCATCTGGGTGGGATCAGAGGTATTTCCTCCACCCATCCTCTTCCCATCTCCAAATTTTCCTTGGATTAGATCAGTGTGCTAACACTAGGATAGAATTCACATTAATTTCTCCCCTGGCACTCTGAAGAGCCATCTATATAGTGTCTAAACCTTTTCCCTGTGTCACAGTGTCAAGGTCATCCAGAAAATGCGTAACCAAACTGAGACTGGCATGCAAGTTTACAAGGCTCCTTGCAGTGCTGTGAGATGCCTCTGAGGTGTCAGTGGGATTCAGGACAGAAACCAAGTGAGCTTGGAGCAGGGCGGTAGCAGGGAGGCCCCTTCTCCCAGGCCAGGTGTTTTGTATCCAAGAGTTGCAATTCTAGGTCATTGGTCACTTATCTGATCTCTGCCCTAGGGCCCTCAGACTGGAATCTGAAGAGGCCGCTAGCAAGAGAGCAGGGAACAGGGGACTGAGAAAATTTTACCTGTCCTTCCCACTGCTATGATGAGGGCCAGAATAAGAGATCTGTTTTTATTCTGTCTCAGCCATCTTTATTTGAGTAACTGATTGTGAAGGCAGCTCCATTTTACCAAGAATACCAATTCTTCAGTGCCACTTTTGGGATCATGCCAGCTAACTCCTGACCCCCTTTGGAAACATCTCCATTCCTCTCCTCTCTCCATGTCTCCTCAAGATCACTTTTTTAAAAGAATTATTTTAATTGTATTTATTATCATTATTTTAAAAAATATTTAATTTTATTTATTCATTAATTATTTTTTTAATTTGACCAGAGAGAGAAAGAGAAGAAAAGTGAGAAAGCAAGATACCATGTCCGGGACTCAAAAATGCAGTTGGCCACGTGAGGGTCTGGAGTCTAAACCAGCATGCTCCCCGCTGGCCCCACCAAGATCCCTTTTTGAAGGAAGAGCAGAGTGTCTGAGATGAGGCCTCCCCAACTTTGAGAATATAGTAATAAAAAAGTACATTTCTCCTATATCGACAACACAAAATACTTGTGATCTCAGATATGTGTGGAATTTTCCACCCAACAGACACTAGCTGTGTCCCCTGATTCAATTAAATTCTGATGCTGTCTACTAAAGGCAGTGTTAGACCCCACAGGTCAAGGGGGGGCTCAATCTCACAAGATTGAGCTCCCTTTCACACTTCAAATGCCAATTGCAAACTCCAGGTTGTTTTTACCTGTTTCTGACCAACTAACTATATTTCAGGCTTCCCAAGGCCTGCTCCTTTGGTTCAATTAATTTGCTAGAACAGCTCACAAAACCCAGAGAAACACATTTGCCACTCTATTGTAAAGAATAATACAAAAGATATCGTTCTAAAAGTAAAGTACAAGTAAAGGGGTGCAGAGTTTCCATGCCCTCTGGATGCACCCCTGTCCAGGAGCCTCCATATGTTCAGTTGTCTGGAAGCTCACTGAACCCTGCCCTTTTAGTTTTTAAGTTAGCTTCATTATGTAGGCATGACTGATTAAATTATTGACACTGGTGATCACCTTTCCATGCACAGCATATACTTACTTATTTTAGAATTATTTATTTAATTTTACTTATTATTATTTTTGTTTTTTAAATTTGACCAGAGAGAGAAAGAGAAAGTGACTGGCCAGGTCTAGGACTCAAACTGTGGTCGGCCACGTGGGAGTCCAGCACCTTAACCACCATGCCATCTGCCTACCAACATGCCATCTGCCTGCCCCCATGCACAGCTTTAAAATACGGCTCTATAGGACTGACCCAGAGTTGCATATTTTACTTTTTTTTTATTAATTTACATTTTCTTTTAACAAATTTCTTAAAAAAAAAATTGTCTTCCTAGACTATACCCTTAGTGGCACAGTATTTTGTGCAAGTATGCTAAGGATATAATCCTGTATACAAAAGGTAATTTATTTGCCAGATGCTCCCCAGAGAGAGAGAGAAAACCTTGTAATGGGGTGTAATCACACCACAGTGTTTTTTCCTCCATTTCTCCATCCCATCGAATTTGGGACACATATTCATGCTGTGTGTTTTTCAAGCAGCCAGGCCAGATTCAAACGACAGCCAATTAGGTGATATCTAGCTCTCCCGGCATAGGGCTTAACCACTGAGCTCTGGGTCTGGCTCAGGGTTAAGTACGCTTGGTTTCTATAACAAACAACCCCCAAAGCTCAGTGGCTTAGCATGACAGTCCATTGGAGGAGATGGCGCTCTGTTCCATGCAGCATTCAGGAAGTCAGACTCCATTCGTCCAGAGGCTCAGCTTTAGAATTTTCCACTAGGGGGGACCAGCAGGTGGTGTGGTGGTTAAGGGCACTGGACTCCCACATGGCTGACCATGGTTTGAGTCCCGGACCTGGTGGTCTTTCCCTCGCACTCCCACTCTGTCCCACTGTGGTAAAATTAAAATAAATTAATTCATTAAAATTAAAAAAAAAGAATTCTCCACTAGGTTCTCTGTAATTATAGTAATAGATGAGAGGAGAAAGAGAATGTAAAGAACGTCACACTTTAGGAACCAGACATGGAATTGGATTACATCTTCTCTACCTGTGTTTCATTGGCCAAAATGTAATCCTATGGAATGTAATCAGACTGTTCAAGACCAAAAGGAAATGGATTTGTGAATGTATATATAGCATTGTCTCTGCCAAATTCCCCTTCTGAGAAATCTAATGACCATTTCCAGTGATCTTATGAAACCTTTCAATTATATTTGACTGTGTTAAATATATAAGTATAAATATATTTATTAAATATAATAAATATAATTCATTTCATCACTTCCATGTGTAAGGCCTCTGTCTTCCAGTTTCTTTGTTTTATTTATTTAACTAAAACATACAGTTGGCCCTCCATACCCAGATTCAACCAGCTACAGGTGGAAAATATTAGGGGGCTGGCCCTATAGGCTAGTCTTTTACCCCATATACCAAGGTTAAGGGAGCCAAATTCCACATGGCCAACCATGGTTTGAACCCCTGCCCTGATGGCTTGAAAAACAAACTGGATGCATGTGCATGTGTGCCCCAAATCCCAATAGGATGAAGAAATGGGGAAGGGATGGAGGTATGACCATGCTCCATTAGGGGCTGCTTTCTCTCTTTCCTTCTCTTTCTCTGGTGAGCACACATGCCCTATGACAAATTAAAACAAACAAAATAAAAAACTCTGGAGTTGGACTGCCTAGCTCCTGCCACCTACTAGTTGAGTGACCCTGGCCAAGTTAAACTCACTGTGACTCCATTTTTTACCTGTAAAATGGAATAAATGAAAATATGTTGTGACGATTGAATGAGTTAATACTGATGATAAAACAGTTATTGCCTGTTTATGACAGTGAGCATTACATAGTCATCCCTCAGTATCCACAAGGTAGATAGTAAAATCATTGGCTCCCCATGTAAGATCTCCTTAAGTCCTTTTTTTTTTTTTTTTTTTTTTTTTTTTGCGATAAGGTGTGTGCACTTACCAGAGACAGAGAGAGAGAGGGAAAATAAGAAAGTAACCTCCCACCAGGAGGGATGGCTATGCCGCCATCCTTCTCTTCCAGCTCTTCTCTGGATTTGTTTGTTTGTTTTTCTTTTATTTTCTTTAAAGGCGTTTTTTGCCATAGGAAGCACTTGCTGGGAGACAGTGAGAAATCATCCTTCGGGGGGATGGCCATGCCCCATCCCTTCTCCATTCTCCTCTCTAGATTTTTGGGCCGGTATGACTTTCAAGCCACTGGGTCCTGGACTCAAACGACGTGGCGAGCAGCCGTCTGGGGATTCCCTGGCCTTAACCCCTGCACCATCTACTGGCTCCATGCTCTGTGTGTGTGTGTGTGTGTGTGTGTGTGTGTGTGGTGTGTATGTTTTTAAAATAATTATTTGGGACCAGCAGATGGCGTAATGGTTACGTCGAGGGACTACCAGTTAGTCGACCACAGTTCAGTTCGACCACAGTTCAGTTCGGGACACAGCAGCTTAAACCTCACGCTGAGTCCATGTATGTGTGCACCCAAAATCCCAAGAGGAGAGGGGATTGCAGTGTTGCCATGCCCCCAGGGGTAATTTCTTGCTTTCTGTCTGTCTCTCCAGTGAGTGCATGTGCACTATAACAAACGTCTCTTTAAAAAAAATTATTGGGACCAGCAGTTAGCATAACGGCTATGTCGCTGAACTCCCATGTCGTCGACTGTGGTTTGAGTCCCGAACCCGGTGGCTTAAACTCACGCCGGGCATGTGTGCGTGAATGGAGGAGAAGGGATTGCAGCATGGCCATCCCCCTGGGGGATGATTTCCTGCTTTCTGTCTCTCTGTCTCGGTCTGGCGAGCGCACGCGCCCTATAGCAAAACAAACAAACAAACAAACAAAAAACCAAAAACCTCTCAAAAAAAAAAAAAAAAGAAAGAAAGAAAGAAAGAAAGAAAGAAAGAAAAAGAATGCTAGCCAAGCAATGGGAAGGGCATAGGGATAGGGTAGAGGGAAAATATTCCACGAAGACGAGATCATGCCCTGCCAACTATTTCCAGAATTCTCAAGCTCATTTCTTTTCTTTTTTTTTTTTAACCGGCACTGACACAGACCTCCCCTCTCAACTTGGACCATAATCATGGTCTACCCAACTCTCATCTTGTTCCTATTCACTCTGTAGCCTTTGGCACACTGTGGCAAAATCGAACCCCTTCGCTCCCTTGATAGTAAGCCTCGGTTTACTAGCCACCCCCCTCACATGTTGTGCTTCAGAATAAGAATGAATCGTAGGTTCCTGAAGACCCGAAGCTGAATCTCTCCTTCTTGCCTTTGCTCTTGGAGTCGGTCCCATTGGACGGAATGCCCTTCTCATCTCTTTTAAAGACACCGCTGGCAGGTCACTGCCTCTGCAAAGCCTTTCCTCCTCCTCCCGGTTTCTGTGCTAGCAGAGGCGGGTCCTTACTAAAATCACGAGTCCCAGACGCTCTACTTCCGGGCTCATCAGTTTGACCAGCAAGTGACAGGCCGTGCAGTCCATTCTGGGTCTCGCCATCACCTACTCCTATACCCAAGTGCTGCGAGAGACCCAGCCTTAAGACCCCAAAGCCCAAGGCAGAGCGGCCTGCCGGGCACCTAAGGTCCCGTGCGCGGCCCCGCCCCCTCGACCCTCCCCACGATGAAATGGTTCAACCGGAGGGGCGGTGCCGGGGTGCAGGCCGTTCCGATTGGCCAGGACGAGCCATACCCCGGCTGGGGCGGGGGGGG